CCCCGAAGTTTACAGATTTGCTTCCACACTGCAGCTTTTATTGGGCATAAGCACTGGCACCAACAATTCTTTTTGTTGCCATATTTAATTATAATTACCTCCTGCCAGAGTTCCTCTCTATTCTTCAATCTCCATTGCCATTTGTATAAAAGGCTCTTGTTATAGAGTTCAAGATTTTTGATTCCCATCCCACCTGTTTTTGCTCTTCTTCACAGCTTGCCAGCTTACTAGGTGCATCATTCCTTTATTAAGTTCCCTCATTGCTTTCTCAATATAGTATCGTTCGCTTTTTTCAAATGGCTTTAGAAAACCCATGGCAAGCAAGGAACATCTAATGTAAGTAAGCGTACTAACATTATTAAGAGTTAATGCCAACTAGTTGTGTTGCATGTACAAGTCTTTTGCTTCGTTGTATTATGTTCTTCCCTAAATTTGCGTGGTTTCTCGTACTTGTAAGTTACTTGAGGCAACTTCCATCTTATCTGTTTTTTTCTCTTTGGATATGATTTTAAGTGAGTCACCTTCTTTTGATTGTAATTTAATCATGAATTCAAGATATCATACTTCCCTTTGCGGGACTTTGTTTTCGAGCAGTCCTTAATTTTCAGCTCACTTGCATCAGCCCTTGAGATAACTTGAACTGGAAAATGCATGAGTCTAGGTACCTAATTATGGACAGAATTGTTAGTTCTCCATATTATCTAAAAAGTTAATTTGTTCTATGCAACAGGCAAATTGCTAAAGTTGTATTTATATTCAGTCTGCCAGATCGGGCGGCAACTGGGCACACTTTATCAGTTATTTTGCACTTGTACGGGCCAGTGTACCAGTCACTCAATGGCAGTGTAGATTTTCCACCACTATTTGTTTTATGAAAAGATTTGCTCGGGATATTCATCTTCTTATGATGCAGTTTTGTGGCTCTTCTTTCAATTCCTACAATCCCCCCTACTTGATATCTGCTCCCTTTTGTCCCAAACTAGTTGTGCTAACTTGAATTTGACAGTCAAAACTGTAAAATTTGATGACAAAATACTCTTATTGTCTTCTGAAACTAGAACTTGAAAAATTCATAGTATTCTATACTACTTTAACAAGTGCGTACTGGTTTATTTTCTGAACACTGAAATATTGAGTTTAGATATCGTTTCAAAATCACCTTAAAACACTTTACATGTGATGGAAGGATTCTGTGATTGGATGATCAGACAATATTTTTATCGATTAAGGCTCAGCAAGGACAAGTGAGAACGATGTTCTTTGACTTCGAGGCGTCTTTTCTTCCTTGCTTTTTCAGATCCGGAATCCAACGCTATTGTATTCCGAGCCATGGTTTCCTAGTTGGGAAGATGCATAAAAGAGAAGAAATGTAGAATATGAAGACTGTTATGAAATAAAAGCAATATAGCAAGAACTATGTAATTAAGATTAATAATAGAAGAGAATGATAATTGTCACGACCCAATTTCCCCTATAGGCCGTGATGGCGCCCAACGTCGCTGCTAGATAAGCCAATGATGAATTAGCCATGTATTTGTTCTTTTTAATAATTTCAAAGTATTTGATTTTTTTATTTATTAAGAGAATGATTAGTAGGAATTTATAGAAAAGTAAAGCTTAAACTAAGGAAAGAGTAAATACAGTTAATCTAATACTCAAAATCATAAAGTGTCTACTAGAGTATTCCCAAAATCCGGTGTCACAAGTGTATGAGCAACTAGTTGAATATACAAAATCATCTATACAGAAAATAAATACAAAAGAGAGAGTGCGGGTGCTGCAGAACAGACACAAAGAGCAGCTCACCACTATGCCTCGGGGTGACGGGGGTATGCACCTGAATAACTGCCAAGTGCACATGCCTCAGATCCTGCACAATTAGTGCAGAAGTGTAGCGATAAACAACATGCATCCAATAAGTATCTAGTCTAACCTCGAAGAAGTAGTGACGATGGGTCGACATAGACACTTACTATGGGCCAATAAATAAAGTACAGAAATTCTCAATAGGCATGGAATACATTAATAATAATAACACAATAATGGATAGTAACTAAGTGATTCTTTAACTAGATGTCAATTAAAATACCTATGGGGTAAATTCCCTCTTACAAGGTTAGGCAAGAGACTTCCAAGTCCTTAATTCGGCTCTTCAATCTCACTAGAATTCTTCAAACGACACCGAGGACTCCGAAACTAACCAAAAGGCGTATAAACTAATAAATATATGCTCAAAAGTTTATAATTTAGTTATTAGAGTAATTACCCAACCCAAATTAAAAGATTCCAAAAATTTACCCCCACGCCCACGTGTCCGGATTCCGGAAGTTTTGAAGATAAAAGTTACCCATGACCTCCCGAACTCTAATATATAATATATTCCAATTTCCACCACCAAAATCATGATCAAATCCTAATTTTAACCCTAGTTTCTTCACAAAATCCCACTAATTTCATAATTCTTTTCATGTTTAATATACTTATAATTCACGTGTTTAGCTAAAGAATTGATAGGGATTACTTACCTCTTGATATTGATAAAACTCTCCCTCAAAAATGCTCTTAAAATCGCCTAAGACCAAGTGGGAAATGAGGGAAATAAAGCTAAGTCACATAATAAAAAGCCCTTGCACCAGTCGCAGATATCGCATTTGCGACATTTTGTTCGAAAATGTGATGGCAAATGCAGCAAAGGCATCGCAAATGCGAAGACTGGCCATCTCTGTCAAGGTCGCTATTGCGACCAAAAACTTCACAAATGCGAAGATGGGCAGCTCGCAAAAGCGGAAAAATGTTCGCAAATGCGAACCCCTCAGTGTTTTCCCCAACCTCGCAAATGCGAACAAAACCTCGCATTTAGGAAACCTACAGGAACCTCGCATTTGCGAAACCTGCAGCACCATACCAGAAAAACTGAAGTTCTTCAATACTCCTAACGCGCTCGAAACTCACCTGAGCACCTGGGGCTCCACATCAAACATTCATACAAGTCTAAAAACATCATACAAACTCGCTCGCGCGATCAAAACACTGAAATAACATCTAGCATCACGAATCGGACGCCAAACACATGAATTCAATCATAAAACTCAAGAACCTCTAAAAACACTTCCGTCCGTCCGATTCCTATCAAAACTCGGAATGACGCCATATTTTACGCACAAGTCATAGATCACTATACAGAACTATTCTCAAGCTAGGAATCCCAAACAGACCTCGATAACACCAAAGTCTACTCCAAATCAAATTTAAAGAACTAGAAAACCTTCAAGTGCCAACTTTCAACATTAAGCATCGAAATGCTCCCGCGTCATCCGAAACCCGATCTAAACATACCCCAAGTCCAAAATCATCATACGAACCTATTGAAATCGTCAAATCCCGGTTTTGAGGTCGTTTACTAAAAATGTTGACTCAAGTCAAACTTGGCCATCTTAGGCCACTATTAAGGAACCAAGTGTCCCGATTTCAACAAGAACACTTCCAAACATAAACCAACCATCCCCACAAGTCATAAAACAGTAAAGTAGGTGGAGACTTAATTAAAGGGAACGGAGATCTAAAAAGTAAAATGGCCAGTCAAGTCATTATATTCTTCACCTCTTAAATAAATGTTCGTCCTCGAACGGGTCTAGAATCATACCTGGTATGCTGAATAAGTGTGGATATCTGCTCCGCATGTCCTCCTCAGTCTCCCAAGTCACCTCCTCGACTGGTTGATCCCTCCACTGGACCTTTACCGCAGAAATCTTCTTAGACCTCAACTGGCAAACCTGCCTGTCAACAATGGCACCTGGCTCCTCCTCATAACTCAGGCTCTCATCTAGCTGAACCGTGTTGTAGTCTAACACATGCGACATGTCGGTATGATACTTCCGGAGCATAGACACATCAGATGAACTCCTGATAGTCTGGGAGGAAAAGCAAGCTCATAGGAAACCTCCCCAACTCGCCTCAACACCTCAAATGGACCAATAAACCTTGAGCTCAACTTGCCCTTCTTCCCGAACCTCATGATTCCCTTTATCGGCGAGATTTTCAAGAGAACCTTCTCGCCCACCATAAATGATAAATCACACGCCTTCTGATTCGCGTAACTCTTCTATCTAGATTGTGCTGTGCGAAGTCGCTCCTGAATCAACTGCACCTTCTCCAAGGCATCCTTTACTAATTCAGTGCCATATAACCTAGCCTCACCGGGCTCAAACCATCCGATGGGCAAACGATATCACCGACCATACAAAGCATTAAATAGAGCCATCTCAATGATGGACTGATAGCTGTTGTTATAACCAAACTAGGCCAAAGGCAAGAATCGATACCACTGCCCTCCGAAGTCAATCACACATGTCTGAGCATATCCTCCAGGATCTGAACCGTGCGCTCCGACTGCCCGTCAGTTTGCGCATGAAAGGCCATGCTGAGCTCTACCGGATGCCCAACTCATTCTATACTGCTCTCCAAAAGTGCAAAGTGAACTGAGGGCCCCTATCTGAAATGATGGAAACAGGTATACCATGCAACCAAACAATCTCCTGAATGTAAATCTGGGCCAATCTCTCTGACGTGTACGTAGTCACAACCAAAATAAAGTGTGTCGACTTGGTCAACCTGTCGACAATGACCCAAACTGCATCAAACTTCCTCAAAGTCTGCGGAAACCCAACTACGAAGTTCATAGTGATGCGCTCCCATTTCCACTTAGGTATAACCATCTACTGAAGTAGGCCACACTTAACTTGCCGGCAATTTAGGCATCTCTATACGTACTCAACTATGCCCTTCTTCATTTGCCACCACCAATAGTGCTACCTCAGGTCACGATACGTCTTTATAGCACCTGGATGAATAAAATACCTAGAACTATGTGCCTCCTCTAGAATCTTCTCCCTCAATCCATCAACAATAGGAACACATAGACGATCCTGGAGTCGTAGAACACCATTTTCACCGATAGTAACCTCCTTGGAACCACCTTGTAGTATCGTCTCTCTAAGAACCAGGAAGTGCGGATCGTCGTACTGACGATCCTTGATCTGCTAAAATAATGAAGAATGAGCAATGACACATGAAAGAACTAGACTGGGCTCTGAATTATTCAACTTTACAAGTGTGTTAGCCAAGGTCTGAATGACCAAAGCCAATGGCCTCTTCTCTGCTGAAATGAAGGCCAAACTACCCATACTCTCGGCCTTTCTGCTCAAGGCATCCACAACCACATTTGCCTTGCCCGGGTGATAAAGGATGGTAATATCATAGTCCTTTAGTAACTTAATCCACCCGTGCTGCCTCAAATTGAGATCCCTCTGCTTGAACCGATGCTGCAAGCTGCGATGATTAGTGTAAACCTTACAGGACACCCCACAAAGATAATGCCTCCAGATCTTGAGAGCATGAACTATCGCGGTCAACTCCATGTCATGTACGAGGTAATTCTTCTCGTGGTGCTTCAGTTGACGTGAATCATATGCAATAAATTGCCCCTCCTACATCAATACACAACCTAGGCCAATGCGTGAAGCATCACAATACACAGTATATATCCCTGAACCGGAAGGTAACACTAACACCGGTGTTGTAGTCAATGCGGTCTTGAGCTTCTGAAAGCTCGCCTCGCAATCATCGGACCATCGGACCATCGGAATGGAGAACCCTTCTGGGTCAATCTAGTCAAAGGTGCTGCAATAGATGAGAAGCCCTCCCCAAACCAGCGATAATAACTTGTTAACCCCAAGAAACTCCTGATCTCGGTCGTTGTGCTTGGACAAGGCCAACTTTGGACTGCCTTGATCTTCCTGTGATCTACCTTAATACCCTCACCTGATACAACATTGCCCCAAGAATGCCACATAATCTAACCAAAACTCCCACTTGGAGAACTTAGCATAAAACTTCTGTTCTCGCAAGGTCTGAAACACAACTCTCAAATGCTACTTGTGCTCCTCCATGCTACGCGAGTAGATCAATATGTCATCAATGAAGACAATGACAAATGAGTCAATATATGGCCTGAACACCCGTTTCATCAAATCCATAAATGCCGTTGGGGCATTGGTCAAGCCGAAGGACATCA